ACCTCCATCTTTTATTAGACAGTGTTCCAACTGAAGCCAATAAGTCTACAGTTTTAATGAGAAATGTCTCCACTGAGTGATAATATGTGCAAATAATAAATTTTCACATGCTCTTCACTTTTGAGGGCAGCAGTCTATGACTGATCGATTCTTCAGAGTTCAGCACATGGTCATGCATGAGCTGACCTTGTAGAAGCCTGATCATTATCCAATAATAGAATCACAGACCTAGTAGAAATCTCTGGGGTCATTGTCCATCCCCAGCAGTGCGAAAAGAATCATGAAAGTTTAACCCTGACAGATGTTTATCTAAAACAGAGGAGGGCATATTTTATCCATTGCTACTATCCCCAACATAAATAATTTGTTGACAAGTTGTTTTTATTGATTTTTTTTTAAAATAGAATTTCTGTCCCTCATAGAGAGTTTGTGAGTGTGATATCTTAAAATCTCTGAACTGTTGTGCTTCTTTTACAAATTACAACCTGCAACTGCAGTTTGGTAGGAAGTTAGGCACTCCAAAGACAATAAAATTGTAGCCTTGAGAGTTAGTGCTTCCATTATAAAATAGAACTAAGGAAGGTATAAGACCTCAGCTATTTTATTCTTGGTTTCCTATATTTCTCATCCAAGACTAAAAACATATAGGTGAAAATTCGTGCTAACATTACTGTTATAATTTCCATCCAACTGTTGTGCTCTGTTAGACAACAAGGCTGGATATTATCTCAGTAAACACATTGATGAAGAAAGGGAGAAAGAGGAAAAAAGAGAAAAAGAGAAACAACTGATAGAATCAAATTAAAGGATTACTTACTCCTTTTTGTACTTGTCTGCTGCAAATGTCTCCTTATAAGCCATACATTAGCATTACATCTCTGAACTTCCTTTTCATAACATAGAGCGTGATCATACGATTCTTATTTAAGGACACATCCCGATAACCAGATTAATATAGTTTGCTCCAATGTGTAAAGTGGTACAACCTAAATTTGCTCAGTCTCTATTTTGCCTCAATAATGAGGATAGCAAGTGGCACTGTTCTAACCCTTTACTGCACAGCCAAATTAAGTTGCAGCAATTAGCAGATTTCCCAGTTGCCAAGGAAAATAGCCATCAGTTGCCACACCTATAAAGAGGTGATGCTAGAACTGAGGGAGAAGATGAGATTTGACAAGTGGTTAGAATGGTTGTTTTAGCTATCTGTCAGAACCTTTACAATTTGCTTTAGGAAAGTCTAGATATACATCTTAAAGAGGTCCTACTTTACTCTGTTTTTCACCAGTAGAGAAGGCAATAAATCAGGAACCCTGAATTACTTTCTTTAGTGATCTTGGTACTGCTAATAAAACAGTAAATACTGGGGGAGCTCCTAGTTTAGCTCTAGCAATACTAAGATCCCTAGAAATAGTAGTAGACCAGGACACTTCTATACCATTAGGGAAAGTCATAGACTTTTACTTAGAGACAACCTGTGCAAGAGCAGCATCAAGTACCGGTACTTATGAGAAGTGCTTGCAAAAGGCTTGGTCAATCACTTTCTCTAGTAAGCTTAGTATTGCTCTTTCTCTTCTAATATCATAGCAGACCAGCAGGACAAACCTAAATGACCATGAAAAGAAAGTAGCCGCAACCAGAAAGGAGGAGGTATGCTCACAGTAGTCAAAAAGAGTCAATGGAAGATGCTCCTGCATCATCACCACAATTGCCACAAAAGTGTCAGAAAGCATACTTATAGCAAAGTCTGTGTCAAGCGAAGATGGAAAATACTACTTCCTTGCAAGATCAGAAAAAAATGAAGTAAACTATCATCAGCTATGGATTGAGGATCAGAGGAAGGCTGCATCATGCATACATGATTTTAAAGAACAGTTAAGAGAGTATCTTTGATCTGTAGTAAAAGGGACATGTAGAGGTATCCTCTGAAAGTCTTTAGAAACATTAATATAGACAAGAGACACACAAGGACCCATCAACTATATCCAGTTCAACTTATCAAGCTATATGTCTTTTATCTCCATCTGACACCCTTTCACATAACACCATTATTGCCTCTGACTTTTCCTTCCTAGCCTGGTTTATTATTCATGAATGTAATATACTTACACTGTGTTTTTCAACTTGAAAGGGTGGAATGGCTTTCAAAGTGAAAATCAGACTGATGTGGTACAGAACGAAATGGGGAGGAAAAAAAGGGGGGGAAGCAATTAAAACTAAAGATGTTCAGAGAAGCCTAGAGGTCATTCTCAGAGGAGATGGTCTTAAAGCTCTTCTTCATAGAACAATTCAGGTGGACTCTATGAGGAGGACAACTGTAAGTGAAGATGGAAGCTACTTGTTCTATGTTTCTTATCTGCTCTTCCTCACAGGGCATTTGACTCTAATAGATGCCTTGAAAAGAAAAGGCCTAGTTTAGCAGAATGCTCTCTCTCCAACATCCCCTTTGTAGTTCACTGCCTTGTCATGGCTTGCACAGCTCAAGGAAACTATGACTTAAGCCATGCAGGGCCACCCAAGACAGATCATAGTGGAAAGTTCTGTCAAAATGTGGTCCACTGGAGAAGGAAATGGCAAACCAGTATCCTGGTCAAGAAAACCTCATGAACAGTACCAAAAGGCTAAAAGTTATGATGCCAGAAGATGAGCTCCTCAGGTAGGAGGAAATTAACCCTGTCTGTCTTTTGGAAAGACAGATACTGAAGCTGAAGGTAAAATACTTTGGCTACCAAATGAGGACCCATTGGAAAAAACCCTAATGTTGGGAAAGATTGAAGGCAAAAGGAGAAAGGGGTTGGCAGAAGATGAGATGATTAGATAGTGCCATCGACACAATGAACATGAATTTAGGCAAACTCTGGGAGACATTGGAGGACAGAGGGCTGGTGTGCTATAGTCAATGGGTTTGCAAAGAGTCAGACTTGACTTAATGACTGAACACCTCTCTAGCATACTTAGGGACTGTCACTGTCATCATCATCCTGAGTAAACCAGGTGCAGGTGAAAGTTTCTTCACTAAAGGTCATGGTCTGTTATCTACCACACTGGTTCAATGTGGGATGATAGGTAACTTTTTATGATTATATTCTTATTTAGGGTTGAAAAGGAATGACTAGTCCAAAGAGCTGATAAACTGTTTTAACCCAAATACTTTTTCCTCAGAACTCCACAGGAATGTAGCGAAGGGAAACTATCAATTTACAGTGACCAAACTACTGTTTTCACTGAATTACAATGCTTATGCTTCTTTCAGAAGAAAATCCCACTCAAAGTCTGTACATGATTTCTTAGACACTGATCATTTTTGTATGGTTTCTTTTGATTCTTTCCCTTTAGAGTGGATTTTTAATTTAATATATCTTTATAGCATGATGCCATTTCTTTTGGAAAGGTCAAAACACGTTTTTTTGTGAACTTACTCTTTCTTTTGGTCTTTCATTGTGGTTTTTCTCATGCTAGGCTCCCTGTTCATTTGGCTCTTCCTGGGAGGTATGCTCCATCTCAAGAGAGATGGACACGTGGCCATGGACATCCATATCCTTTCAAGTACAAGCCGAAGACGTCTGCCTTTGATATTTGCCTGAGTTTGCCCTTTGGTAGTTTTAGTGCCTAATTTGGGTTTCTTCTCTTCTTGCAAACTTTCAGAAAAACCTCTTCTGAATCTGGTAACTATCTAGGAATGTGGCATATTCCTTTAGTGGTCTGAAATTGGAATGGGCCAAGGAAAAAAGCACAAACAAAAGAATAATAAAAATTTAGACCAAAGGGAAAGCTGCAAAAATAATTGCCCTTCAAGCTGAGCTAGAATTTGGCAAATGTCAGTTCCAGCTGGCTATGCTTTGTCTTCACTTAAGATCTCCATTAAGGTCTGATTTGCAACTTCCTAAGTCCCTTGTCTCATAATTTATTATGACATGCTGAGGAGCTAAACTGAACAAGCAAGCTATGCTGAATTACATTTTCATCCTTCATCCCCTCATTGAAGAAAATGGAGACTAATTGGAGTTCTCCTGCACTTCATCTAGGAACATTTAGTGATCTAAATACACGACAATCCACCATCCTGTTTTTGTGAAGATCAAATAGCAGAACTTTAGCAGGTCCACTTTTTCAGCAGTTGGGTGGATGTCTAGCTGCTGCATTGTAGAATTCAGGCAATTGTACTATGATTGAAGTTGTAACATGACATTTTAAAAGGCTGCAGGAGAAATGGTTTATAAGAGATTTCCATTTTCTGTGAAGTTGGAGCCAGAACACTTTTTAGGTATGCTTTTAGTTGCAGGGATTCTCAAGCAGTATAAACTCTGGCATAGTTTGCATAGAACCTGATACCCACCAGATGCCCAGTCTGGTCATTGTGGCAATTTTGTAAATCATTTTGTCACAAAGTTCCTTAGTTCTGCTGAAGCCTTGGTTCTTCCTAAGTAGAATATGATGCAGCAGTAGGCAGAGTGATCTCCTGACATAAATTTAACCAGAAGTGCACAGTGTCTTAGGAAAGGTAAAATATGCTGCTGAATTTTACCAAGAGAAATCATGGATGCTTTGGAGTAAGAAAATTTTCTTACTCCAAAGCATCCATAATTTCTATTGTTAAAATACAATTTTCTTACTCCAATTCAGCTATATAACTGTGATCTTGGTATGCAAATAAATGTTTTTGCATTAGGAATTGAATAGCAATAGCACTTAGACTTATATACCGCTTCACTGTGCTTTACAACCCTCTCTAAGCGGTTTACAGAGTCAGCATACTGCCCTCAACAATCTGGGTCTTCATTTTACCGACCTCAGAACAATGGAAGGCTGAGTCAACCTTGAGCCACTCAGAATTGAACTCCTGGAGTGAACAGTGAGTACTGCATTCTAACCACTGTGCCACCATGGCTCATAAATAAATCATGTAATTCCAAAATAAGTCAAAACCCATCTATTTATCAGGGTCCATCTGGTTCCGCCCCAGGTGCCTGATGGACCCTGAGAGGTTCCAGAAGGAGCTTGGGATGATCCCTCTCTCTCTTTCCCTCGCCCCGGTCACAACCCTGGTGGAGGCCTGGGAAGAGACTGCTACCAGGGCTCTGGACCAGGTTGTTCCTTTGCAGCCTCTGACTCATCGCAGATCCCGGCCGGCTCCCTGGTTTACCGAGGAGCTCCGGGAGATGAAGCGGCATAGACGAGGCCTAGAGAGCTGTTGGAGAGCAAGCCGTTCCGAATCCGACCGATTTCAATTAAGGTTGGCCACATGGGCCTACCTGGTGGAGTTGGCGGCGGCAAAGCGCCACTACTTCACCGATGTCATCGCATCCGCAGAGAATCGCCCGGCTGCCCTGTTCAGGGTGTCCCGCTCCCTCTTAAATCAGAGGGTGAGGGAAGATCCTTTACAGGGACGAGCCGAGGAGTTTGGTCAGCACCTGTCGGACAAAATCACTCGAATTCGGGACGGCTTGGACTCTGACTGGACAGAGTCAGACGGGGGTGAGACAGCGGGTCCTGTGTTTTGGGAAGAGTTCGATTCTGTTACCCCAGAGGAAGTGGACAGGATCATGGGGAAGCTGAGTGCGACCACCTGTGTGTTGGACCCGTGTCCCTCCTGGCTGGTTTATTTGTCCCGGGAGGTGACACGAGGCTGGATCCAGGCGGTGATAGCGGCTTCTTTGAGGGAGGGAAACTTCCCGACCGCCTTGAAGGAGGCGGTGGTGAGGTCCCTCCTCAAGAAGCCAGCCTTGGACCCAGCTGTATTAAATCATTTTCGTCCAGTCTCCAACCTTCGCTTTTTAGCGAAGGTTGTTGAGAATGTGGTTGCACATCAGCTCCCGCTGGTCCTGGATGAAGCGGATTACCTCGACCCGTACCAATCGGGTTTCAGGCCCGGGTACAGCACGGAGACAGCATTGGTCGCACTGGTGGATGATCTCTGGAGGGCCCGGGACAGAGGTCATTCCTCTGTTCTGGTCCTTCTGGATCTTTCAGCGGCATTTGATACCATTGACCACGGTATCTTGCTGCGTCACCTCGAGGGGTTGGGAGTGGGAGGCACTGTTTTACAGTGGTTCTCCTCCTACCTCTCGGGTCGAACGCAAGCGGTGTTGGTGGGGGGGCAGAGATCGACCTTGAGGCCCCTCACCTGTGGGGTGCCTCAAGGGGCCGGTTCTCTCACCTCTCCTGTTCAACATCTATATGAAACCGCTAGGGGAGATCATCCGTGGTTTTGGGGTGAGGTATCATCAGTACGCTGATGATACTCAGCTTTATATTTCCACCCCGAACCAACCCAGTGATGCCTTCGATGTGATGGCCCGGTGCCTGGAAGCGGTACGGGTCTGGATGGGTAGAAACAAATTGCAACTCAACCCGGCCAAGACCGAGTGGCTGTGGGTACCGGCATCTCGGTTCAGGGGAGAGGTGCCATCGCTGACTATAGGGGGTGAAGTTTTGCCCCCTGTAGACAGGGTGCACAACTTGGGCGTCCTTCTGGATTTGCGGTTGAGCTTAGAAGACCAGATAATGACCGTGACCAGGGGGGCATTTGCCCAGATACGTCTGGTGCGCCAGTTGCGTCCCTACTTGGACCGAGATGCCCTACGCACAGTTACTCATGCGCTGGTCACCTCACGGATTGACTACTGCAACGCTCTCTACATGGGGCTGCCCTTGAGGACCACTCGGAGGCTTCAGCTGGTGCAAAATGCAGCCGTGCGGGTTGTGATGGGAGAATCCCGATACTCCCATGTTACACCCCTCCTGCACGGTTTGCATTGGCTACCGGTTGCCCTCCGGGTAAGATTCAAGGTGCTGGTGTTGACCTATAAAGCCCTACATGGCTTAGGACCAGGATATTTGGCGGACCACCTACAGCCAGCAACAACATCCCATCGCCCGGTTCGCGCCCATAGAGAGGGCCTACTCAGGGTGCCGTTGGCTAGACAGTGGCGGCTGGCGGCTGCCAGGGGTAGAGCCTTCTCGGTTGGGGCGCCCACCCTCTGGAATCAACTCCCCTTGGAGCTCCGACTAGCGCCTGACCTTCGCACCTTCCGCCGGGAATTAAAAACTTGGCTTTTCAAATCCCTTGACCTGGTCTGATGATGGGGTTTTAAGGGTTTTAATGGGTTAATTTTAAATTTTTTAGATTTTAGTCTTTATTTTATTGTGACTTATGTTTTATTGTTGTGAGCCGCCCTGAGTCCATTGTGAGATAGGGCGGCATATAAGCCAAATTAATTAATTAATTAATTAATTAATCAATCAATTAATTAATTAATTTAAATCCATGTCACCACTGAGTTGGATACACAGCCATTTAGCATTTCATGTTACAAAGTAGATTGTACAAAGTAGATTAAATAATGTATTGTAAAATAGTGAGGAAGAAAAAAGGCACATACTATGTCGATCCATATCATACGTTATCAAAAGTGGCAATAATGATAAAAATAAATTGATACAAATAATAATAATACAGTAATAAGTAATAAATTAAGGTTAAAATCTAGAAGCTCTTATCAGCAATCAAACATTATATCATGCATCTCTTTTACATTTTACATAGATTAATGAATTAACAGTGTAACTATTATACATTATTATAGTAATATTGTATAAACTAATGGGAAGGGAAAAGGAAGAAGAGTAGGGAGAAAAAGAAAGGAAAGAGAAAGTAGGAGAAGAGAACATAGGTATGGAAGAAAATGCACTTTGTAGTGTTTTCCTGCAGCCAAAGACATGTGAATAAACAAGCAAATGTCCATTTTGAAACCAGACATAAAAAAATTAATAACCTGAATACACAAAACTATAATAGCAAACCATTAAAAATTGATACCCTATTTCAATAAGAGTGTAATGAAGGCAGATAGATTTCAGCTTTCACATTTTCATGAAATGTTTTCTATCATTTGATCATTTCAAGAATCTCAACAGACAAATCAGACCTCCCCCGTATTCCAAAGGAGATGTTTTATTCTCAACTGCATTTATTCTGGAACTGAGTAATAGCAGTAACTTATTAGCTTCTATATTCTCCTTTTCTAAAATAGAGTAGCCATCATATCTTTATCAGATATTGCCAAATCCATCATTTTAATGGAGGAAGATAGATTCTTGAATATTATCCAGGCTGATAATGAACATGCCCTCTCTGCTCATCAAAACACACATTAATCAATTCATTCTGTTTCCAGTAATAGCAATTAGCATATACAATAAATGGATTTTTAGGATGAAAATTGTAAGGGATTGTGACAAATGCCAATGCCAGTTTAACAACATCAGTAACATGGCCAGAAAAAAAATGTTTTTATGGCAGTAAGCTTATAACAAAAAGCTGAACCTATAGAGTTGGCCAACTGAGTATTTTACTGGAGACAAGGCTAAAGAGTATATTAAAACATTAAAATCCATTTTTACTGCTTGTTGTTGATTTTGATGAAAGGGTGGGTGTTGTTATGAAATAGGTTATTGCATTTAGAAGGTCATGATTTGAGATTCCAGTGGCATGGATATTTAAGGTTAAGGCAAATGTAGATGTTAAAAATCATTATGTCAGGTGCTCTACTCTCAGAATATTGAATAAATATAAATTTAGATTCTGCCCAAAATCACCTTTGTGGCTTTTAGCCCAAGAAGCATTTTATAGATGAGAAGTGACAAGTAAACATAAATGGTTAATTTATCATGATGTGTTAGAATTTTCTCAAGGAGATTGTAAAATGAACTCAAGAGAAGATAATGATGACAGAAGGATATACTTCTCAATGGTTTTCTTATGTCCAATTAACAGAAAAGTTTAAAGCGGACAAAAACTTTATGGCTTGAGCTGCTTTGAAACAGAAACATGTACTAATGATGAACACGTTGTTGCTAAAATATATAAACTTTTGCTAAAATATAAGACAGAAGAAGAACAAGTGAAAGAATGTATGAGAAAATGAGCTAAAGCTTTTGGCTACAATGATGGACCAGCAGGAAAATATGTGGTTTAAAATATTACAATTTGCATTATGTTCTAGCCTTAAAGAGATCTTTTTATAAAATAATGTATCATTGGCATTTGTCATCTGAGAAAGTGTCTAAAATGCACAAAGGTACTTTAAACCTTTGCTGGAAATGTGAATAACATGAAAGGATATGCCTGGGGGACATGAAAAAAAAAAAGCTTTAAAAATTTAATACAAATGTATATTCAGAAGATTTTAAAGGTTACAGTACAAGTGAAACCTGGCAGTTTTCTTTTGGGATTAATGTACAAGCAACCAGAAATAGTCATGGAACTTTATTTTTATATATGACCATTGCAATGAGACTATTATATGCTCAAAAGTGGAATTACCCACAATGGAAGAATGGTTGGCAAAGATAAGGGAATTTGTGGAGATCAGCTTCTTTGATTAGAGAAAAAAAATCCACATTTATGGCTGACTGGAAGTCTCTTTTAGATTTTTTTACATAAAATGGGGGGAAATGCACTTATGGCCGATGATTTAAAAAGGGGGATAATAGAAAAGAGTCAGCTTTCTTTTGTAATCATAAAGAATAATTTGTAATTATACTCTACTTGTAATTTCTACAAAGGAAATCTGAAGTTTCTATTTCTTTTTATTCTTTTTGTATTTCTGCATTTTTTTTCTTTTTTGTTATCTGCCTTTACTTGTTATTAGTTTGTGTTAATTTTTATGTTCTTTGTAAAGCTTTCAATAAAAATCTATTGAAAGAAAATATTTGAATCCACTGTAAAAAGGTGGAACCAACAGAAGCCATCATCTGAGATACCATCTATATGTATTTTAGTCTTTAGCCCAGAAGTTAATTTAGCTAACTATTATTTTCTAACAATCCTCTACTAGACAGTTCTACCTAGAATTAATGGATTGGCCAGTTAAAAAACAACAACCTGTAGTTCTGGGACAATTTTCACAATCTTTACACAAGGCATCACTTTGTAACATCTAGGCAAAAAATATGTCTCTCACAAAAGATCCTTTGCAGTACCTTTATTGACCTGAATGGAGCTTTTGATATAATCCCTCAGGAAAGACAATAATAGATATTAGGTGTTTCTTTTTTATATTGATTGGTGGCTTCTAAGGCTAATTATAGTTATGTGAGGACATGATCCACCAAGATAAAGGCCACAGCACCAGGATCAATTGGTACTCTAACAGCACCAATCATCACACAAAGGTGTGTCAAGCTAGAGTGCATTCAGGCCCCTTTGTATATTAATTTAATCACTCAGATCTTCTTCAAATGTGAACTTCACTCCTCCCCCAACTAAACTACAAACTAATTTCCATATTCCTCTATGCTGATGGCAGACTGTTTCAAGAATCACTTCTGCTATATACAGAAGAGTGCTAATGTTAGCAAGGTTCCAATGCTGACCTAGCGAAGATGTAACAACATGCCTTACGCAGAATGTTTCTGCATCTCTTCTGACTTCACTATTGAATCAATAGGTCATATTTCACTTCATTGCCCACTATATTGTTCTTGATATGTAAAATCCATAGCTCCACTTATTATTCATTATGCAGGCTGGTTTTATGATATACTTATTTGTCTTCTACTTGCTGACTTAACTAAAATTTAGGAAGATATGAATGCTATTGATATTCAAACGCTCTTGGTTTGATGCCAACAATGGGTGCATTGAATGAGCATGGATACATATTTTATTGCAGTTTAATTATCTTTACTTCTATTTTATTTTAACTAGTACTAAAGGTAAAGGTTCCCCTCGCACATATGTGCTAGTTGTTCCCGACTCTAGGGGGCAGTGCTCATCTCCGTTTCAAAGCTGAAGAGCCAGCGCTGTCCAAAGACGTCTCCATGGTCATGTGGCCAGCATGACTAAATGCCAAAGGCACATGGAACGCTGTTACCTTCCCACCAAAGGTGGTCCCTATTTTTCTACTTGCATTTTTTACGTGCTTTTTAACTGCTAGGTTGGCAGAAGCTGGGACAAGTAACAGGAGCTCACCCCCTTATGCGGCACTAGGGATTCAAACCGCTGAACTGACGACCTTTCGATCAACAAGCTCAGCATCTTAGTCACTGAGCCACCACGTCCCTTTTAACTAGTACTACTAGCACTTTATTATCAATCTTCTTTTCTAACTTATTTATTCTAGTGCTCTGTAAGCTTTTATTTATTTATATCTCCAGCAGTAAATTCATCGACATTTAACATGTCAGTACTAAAATGGCTCAGAAATGTTATCCAGTTCATATCTTGGTTACTTATATATGATACTGCCTGAGTATTCATAACATTTTAAACCAAAACAAACAAGCTAAGGGTGCTATGAAATCCCATTTCATAGTTTCTAAACTATGATTCTACAAACCCAATTAGTTGTGGTTTGTTCAGGAAATAATATTCAGGAAGCCTTGGCAAACATAATGTAGGAATTAGGTCACTTTTCCAATGTAATAATATGATTCAAATACAAGAATTAAATTTCAATGAGCTACCCAGAGCAAATATATTAATTACTTCAGCCTTCGACTTTCTTCACAAATCTGTATGTAGGATAGATACCTTGCAAAGAGGTTCCTTTAACAGCCTTGGGACTTCAGTACTGGGTGTACACTTCATAAATTTTTTAGAAAGGTGTTCTATTACTTGAAGATTGCAGAGGAATAATTACAGTAACAGGTTTTCTGTGGACGTGGCAATTATATATAGCTATATATTGCCAGGCTAGAGAAGAGAATGTGGCCTTTCTGTTTCTATTATGAAATACATTCACATAGTCTTTTTAGAGTGAGGTATATTTTCCCAGAAAAATAAGCCATTCACTGGGCTTTTATCATAGCCACATTAATGTGCACTTTTCCCATCCTTGACTGGCAGAAAAATATTGCTGGCATTATTTGCATTGTTCTGATTGTTGAGCCTTAATTTGTCCCTATAATAAGGCCAGTGAATTGGACTGTCCTTACAGGTTTGATGTAGGACTATTTAAGGACGGCAGTCAATGGATTCAAATGGTTTCATATCTGCTCTTGCTGAGCAGTAAAAAGATAACATGTATTTTGAAACCCCTTGTCAGTGGAAGAAGCAAAATTGAAACGAATAGATAGGAGAACAGTAGACAG